GCTTTATAGTACGGGTTATTCACACAGATGGCGAGAAGACGCTAGCTTCTGACTTTGACGGGTACCTCAAAAAGGAAGGCATGAGAGTCGAACGCTCAGCTCCTGACACCCAAGCACAAAACGGCGACTCAGAACGAGCAGGACGATCTATTGCTACAAAAGCAAGGTGTATTCGCATCCACGGAGGCGGTCCACACAACATTTGGAACTTAGCTTGTGATTATACTGCTCAAATACTCAACCGTACACCACTTGAGAGGCTAGGCTGGAAGACCCCATGGGAATACGTCTTTAAAAGCAAACCTCGATACACTCACTTGTATCCATTCCTCTGCAAAGCTTACGCACTTGAGAAACACATCCCGAGGAAGCAGAAACTCAACCCTAGAGCTCAAGTAGGCTACTTTGTAGGCTACGAATCAACAAACATCTTCAAGGTCTGGATACCCTCAAAGAACAACTAGAGACGTCACATTCGACCGAACCTCCTTCTACGACCCTAGTAATACTGAATTACAAGACATACTACGCGAGACAACAGAAGACCTGGTTGAAAGACTTGAAATACCAGCTACTTTAGAGCAAAGGAGTAGGTATAGGAGCATTGAAGAAGCGGCTGTACTTGAAGCAACTACTACAGTACCCCAGAAAGAGACTAATGTAGAGGAACCAACCCAGCTGCTTTCACCCCAAATTACCCCAGAAGCCAGCAGTCAAAACCCACACAATATTAACCTACCAGCTTCACCAGCAACACTTGAAAGTTCTGAGCTCTCTGATCTGTCAGATGATGATATCGACAATCAACTTCCACTTGCTCCTGGCAACCCTGGCAACCATGCCACTCGACNAATATTAGCCTACCAGCTTCACCAGCAACACTTGAAAGTTCTGAGCTCTCTGATCTGTCAGATGATGATATCGACAATCAACTTCCACTTGCTCCTGGCAACCCTGGCAACCATGCCACTCGACGTAATGAGATATACGCTGGTGTAGATTCAGAAAACATCATTCCAGCAAGCACATCACGTACTACACGTACAGCACTGGCTACTCAATGGAGTCCATATAGCTCTTATCACTCAGCCTTTTCCACTGCACTAAAAACTAAACCAACAACTCGCCTACATCGAGACCAGATGCCGCCACCTCCAAAGACATATAGAGAGATGCTACGCCACCCTTTTAAAGACAACTTACAAAAAGCATGTGACCAGGAGATTAACACTCTAAAGTCAAAAAACACCTTCAACCTTGTTCCACAACTAGACAATAACAACTCTCTTCCTTTGATGTGGGTCTGGGCATACAAGTTTGACGAGAATGGGTATATTCTCAAGTTCAAAGCTCGTATTTGTGCAAGAGGAGACCTTCAATGGACAGACCAGGAGACCTACGCTGCCACTTTAGCTGCACAAACGTTCCGTGCAACAACAGCCATTATTGCAGCCTACGACTTAGAAACCCGATCATACGACGTAATCAACGCCTACGTTAATGCCAGATTAAAACAACCAATCAGATGTAAGTGTCCTGAGGGATACGAGCAAAGTGGGTTGGAATGGGAAGTAATCATGGCTTTGTATGGCCTCAAAGAATCAGCCCGTCTCTGGTATGATGATATTGTCAAGACTCTCGCTGAGTTTGACCTCTACCCAGTCCCTGGAGTCCATTGCCTCTTCTCAAATAGCTGGCTTACCCTTATACTGTACGTGGATGACATAATCATTGCTTATCCCAAGGAAAATCAGTCCAAGGTCGACGAATTCGAGAAACAGCTGCTTTCGAGATATCAAATACGACAGCTTGGCGAAGCTACGCACTTCCTAGGTGTACGAATCATCCGGGACAGGCTCAGAAGGAAGCTCTGGTTAATTCAGGACGACTATATTCAAAGTCTTGCAAGCCGATTCAACATTGTTATTACCCGAGTACCACAAACACCACTCCCTACAACAAAGCTAGTACCCTGGGATGGCACAGCTTCTTCTTCTCAAATTACTGGATATCAGCAAAAGGTTGGGAGTGTAAACTTTGCTTCTTGCTATACTAGACCGGATATCTGTAGAGCTGTTTCAAGACTCTCAGAATACCTAACCAATCCGTCGCCTCAACACCTCTACGCCGTTGACCACTTACTACACTACTTAGTAGGAACGTCTTATTTAGCAATTGAATTTGACGGCAACTTCCAAGGCGCGGATTCCTTTCTCTCCTGGAGCGACGCTGCGTTCGCTGACGACGTCGAAACCCGGAAAAGCTCTATTGGATACTGCTTTCAACTATACGGAGGTCCAATACACTACAAATCAACAAAACAACGACATGTGACTACCTCAAGCACAGAGTCAGAGTTTGGGGCTCTTATTGCAACCGCAAAGGAGTTCTTGTGGTGGATACGCTTGTTTAGCTATATTGAGCTACGTATTCAGGACAATCCAAACATCTACTGCGACAACCAACAAACCATTCGTCTCTTACAAAGAGATACTCCAAAGCTTGATACTAAACTTAAGCATATCGACATTATCCAGAGCTGGCTTAGGCAAGAAGTACAGGAGAAGCGCGTTAATATAAACTGGGTCCCTACTACTAGTATGGTAGCCGACGGCTTTACGAAGGAGTTATCACCTCAAAAGCATGTTCTATTCGTACAACAACTACATCTTACAGATATTAGCCAGTTGATACTTGGATCAGGTGACAGCTTTCAATAAGACGCTGTCTCCTGGGGGGTTGTGTTGTGCTGGGTCTACTTTCTCTTTTGCTCCACTTCCTTATTTGATCCACTTATAGTTCTGCTGCCTAAATGCTTCATGTCTGCCTAAACCTTACACTCTTTATATAAACACCTTAGATAGCTACCTTTTACAATGCAATCAATTCTCCATGACCTTCAGTACCCAGTACCCTTTCAACCCAATAGAATCTTTGTTTAATTGACAGTTCTACGATTCCACAACCTACACCGTGGGCTTTGCGTACGTGTCGTCACAATATCTTAGTAAGTAGTTTTATAGTAAATAAGGAAATATAGGAGATATATTATATTCTCTTTTATATAGTAGCTCCTTAATTATTAATACTATAATATTATTATTAGTTATACTATTTAAGCTCTTTTACTTACCTACTTACCTCTCGCGGGTTACTTACTATACTTTAGATTGGTTTTAGATTATTCGGCTATATGTTACGGAGTTGGAGGAATTGGGGGCAGATCACGTGTAGCAGCACGGCACGTGCGTGCTGCTGGCAGCCTGTATATAAGCTTCTGTTCCTCTGGAACTCTCTTCCTTCCTCACTTAGTTGTTCGATCTATATAGCAGTTTCCGTTTGACTCCGTATTTATCACAGCAAGCAGTGGTTCACTCCACACGGTCACACTATATACCTATTTTACTACTAAGTGTTATACTTATAAATAGGCTATATACCTATTTCTAGATAGTTTTACTACTTCCCTTTAAGGACGCGAGGCCGAGAGTACTCATCCTTTGATTATCCTATAAAATAGAGCCTTCTAATTAGTCTATATATAGTCGAAGTACAAGCATTTAAAGCTAGCTAGTAAAATATAAAATAAAAACTAACAATAAGCCTCTTATCTAACGTGTGACGAATAGACGATAAATTGAATACTAAAGTAGTATAGATAGACCATAGTAATAGCTTAGGGAAAATATATAATTGTAAGTTATATGAAATAATGAAATAGGTAGTGAGGCTAGATGCACCAGGTAGATGTCTTCCGTCAAGGAAGTTGCTAGGGAGCTCAATGGGTTGATTAAGCGAAGTAACAGCTGACCTCCCCTTTTCCTTTCAGATTATTAAAGATAAAGTGAATTTTTGTTGAAGACTTGTGAGAGTGAATGAATTTGCTTTTGTTTCCCGAGGTCCCTCAATTCGGGCCGGGAATTATCCGTGCCTCGGCCTGGGCATCTCTAAGCATCACCTGTGCACCTGGGCAGCTCCCCACGGGCAAAGTGAGCGTTGGCTTTAGTTCAAAAGAACTCAAAAGAACACAACTACCTTCCAATCACTTACAACATCCAGTTCTCATTCTCGTAACTTAACTGCATATCCAAAATCATCTCAAGATGACCGAAAGACTCAGCTCCATCCTCAAGCACTTGACTCCTGGCTCATCCGGGTTGTCCTCCATGTAAACAATTCCTCCCCGCTTACTCGTGCTATCAGCACATGCTAATGAAATCTCAACAGCACCTCCAAGAACGCCGACGATGTTGTCATTACTCTCGCCATTCGAACACCATTAGGACGAGCCTTCAAAGGAAGCTTCAAGGATACACAACTTGATTTCCTCGTCTACTCGCTGTTGCAGAAAGTCCTTGACAAGTCCAAGATTGATCCTCAGCTTGTGGAGGATATCTGCGTTGGAAATGTATTTTCACCAACCTCACTACTCAATTCATCACTAACACATTACTCTGCAGGTCAGCGAAGGAAATGCAGCCTACCTTGTCCGAGCAGCAGCTCTGGCAGCCGGATTTCCAAACACCACCGCCGCCTCCACCGTAAACCGATTCTGCTCCTCGGGCCTCAAGGCAACACAAGATATTGCCAACCAAATCGCCTCTGGCAGCATTGATATCGGTCTTGCGGTAGGTGCTGAGATGATGTCCGTCCAAGCCACCAGTCTCCCAACACCTTTCAATGCCACCGTTCTCGAGAACCAGGAAGCTGCAGATTGCATGCAACCTATGGGCCAAACATCCGAGAATGTCGGCAAGGACTTTAACATCACCCGAGAGGCACAAGATAAATATGCTGCTGAGAGTTACCAACGTGCCGAGCGGGCTCAGAAGGAGGGCTGGTTTGATGACGAGATTGTGCCTATTACAACTGAGGTTACAGACCCAAAGACCGGTGAGGTAAAGAAGATCACTGTTACTAAGGACGAGGGACCAAGATACGGTACTACTTTTGAGTCTCTTAGCAAGATTCGTCCTGCTTTCCCAGCGTTCGGTGACAAGTCAACTGGAGGAAACTCAAGTCAAGTCACTGATGGAGGTATGTTTCTCCTCCTTGCCACTTCATTGTACACTCATTAATAGAATCCAGCTGCCGCCATCCTCCTCATGCGCCGTTCAAAGGCCATTGAGCTAGGCCAACCCATTATCGCAAAATACGTCGGAGCCACCATTGTCGGTCTCGCTCCCCGTATTATGGGTATCGGACCATCCGTTGCCGTCCCCAAGCTTCTTACCAAATACAACCTCACAATTGATGACATTGATGTCGTCGAATTGAACGAGGCCTTTGCATCTATGGCCGTCTACTGCAAGGACGTCTTGAAGATCCCACACGAGAAGATGAACCCACGTGGTGGTGCTATTGCACTGGGTCATCCCCTTGGTGCTACGGGTGCTCGACAGATTGTGACGGGTCTTAGTGAGCTTCGACGAACGAAGAAGAAGGTTCTCTTGACTAGTATGTGTATTGGTACCGGACAGGGAATGGCCGGATTGTTCGTTAACGAACAATTGTAATTTCCTCATTTGTTTACCTTTATATGTATTCTAGGCTGTTGGGTATGGGATCTGGATGGTTTGGTAGTCTGATGGAGCATCAAAAAAATTATCTACTTAGGAATTGAAATTTCTTGGCTCCTGTCTTGTTTTTGTCTTGGATTGTGAGTGTGAAAAAACATGTGAATATTGAGGATACCACCGCCTTCCAAGTCCGGAATTTTGCCACGGGAAGAGACCGTTCTTTACTATAAGAGCCTCAGGCCTCAACAACGAGGAACGAGTTTGGCAGACGAGCAGCCGCAGGCGTCTGTGCTCGCGAGGCCCGCTTTAAATTAGGATGGGAAGAGACAGTGATGACGAAAGACTGCTACCAGTCCAGCCCAGAATAGCTGAGGACGCTATCAACACCAAGGCCAAATGGAATTAAATAATAACACCAAATCACTCAACTGAGAAGTGCGGAAGTCTTCTTGATAACCATGACGAAGCGAGTTCGTTGACCCTCCTTTATTTCATCATCGTTAGGTGCACGCACTAAGCATTCTTTTCCCAGGTCGCATTCCGTGTTCATGGGGAAGTACAGGGTGAGTTTGTCATAGTTAATCTGATTGATTTACATCCAGGCTGGTGGCTGGATGGATGATTGGATTTTTCTACGGGTTTAATGGCTGATTTTTCTCGTGTGTAGGTGTTTCTTTTCGGTATGTTATCTTGAGGGGAGTTGGGAGGTGGATATTGGGGGGGTTGGGTATTGTGTTGACTATACATGTATAGATATTTTACGCGGAAGAAGGCTTGCGGGTATGGATTGAGTGGGTGGGTTAGGAATACTAATGGTGGCAAGGTATTTTTTTCTCTGTTCTTCTTATTCCCGCCCTGCCTTTCTCTATTCTTCTCTTTTTACCACGTTTACTAAGTTACACCACGGTTTCTCGGGAGCTAATTGATTGTTCTGTATAGGTCGAAGGAGAAGTCCAAGGCGAAGACGAGGATCTTAAGAAGTTGTTGAAGGATATTGATAGTGGACCTACGCATGCGCATGTTGTTTAGTTGGAGAAGGAGGAGAGGGATGTTGTTGAGGGGGAGGAGGGGTTTAAGGTTAGACGGTAAATAAGATGGAAGGTTCAGAGGGGTATCTAGGTGGGGAGGTTCCGATTGCTGGGATGAGGAGGGGAATGGTCACGTGTTTTGGTGGTTGTTGGTCAAAAGGGAGATTTGGCCTCCTGAATTGAGTCTTCACTCTTCTCAAAGATTTGCATGATACCGAGTTTCTGTGATTTTCACCTTTCCGGCGTTGAAAAAGCAAATCAAGACACGGAATCCAGTTCAAGCTGACTGAGACAATGAACCAACGGGAGGCCCTGAAAGACGACGATTCCTGCAGGTACCCCTTTTATCACCATCTCTTCATTCACATTAGATTTTCTTAATGGGATTTCTCAGGCAGCAAGATGGATCAAGGTGGTACACACTCAGCTGCAGTACCACATCAAATATCGAGGATCTTCCAGATCCGAAAATGTTTTTTTTTTCTCTTTCGTACGCTCTGAAGATGACGACCTATAACAGATCCTTGTGTGGATACGAGCCTGAAATATTCTCCTTAAACCGAAAAAGCGTCTTATCCAATGACGTTGTCGTGCTGATGAATCCACATCCCCTTTCGGGCCAACTTTGCCTCCAATATCGGGATATTTTTACCAAGGCACCCGGGCTGCATATCAGCAGCGAGGTTCCCAAGGTTTTGGTTGGAAGCCACGGTGGAAAGTGTGGAAACACGACGTTGGGGAGCGTAGTTGCCTTTCTTGATTATGGAGCGTGTTTCTGTTCTCTCCTCCCTTTGCTTTGCTTTCTTCTCTTTCTTCCTTCCTTCCTGTTCGTCTGTTCGCTGTGAAATCTTTTAGACGTTCGTTGGATTGTTGGTGCATTGTTGGTTGCTTGAAAGGGCAGTTTCTTTGCCTTTGCTTATTCTTCTTATCGTCTCTGGATTTCTTTTGACCTGGTTTGTTGGCGTGGGTGGTGTCGATTCAATTTATTCTTCTGCCTGCAGCTGGGAGCAATAATACGACCTCATCTGTATCGATTCGGAAATCACGATTTTCGAGAACTTGCCTCCTCAGATATTTACCATTAAATCTCACGATCCCCATCAATCCTCCTAATACTTTGTTTGCTTCCCTCGTCCCTCAAAATGCACACCTCTTCCATCCTCACCCTGCTCGTCGCAACCTCCCTCACAACAGCCCAAACCTCCTCGCCAAAACGCGGACTCGTCTTTGTACCTAACCCCAAACATGCACCTGATAACCAGATCTGGGTCCAGGGCCAAACAGATCTAACATGGTACTACAACTACCAACCCACGCCCTCACCAGCATACCTCAACCTCTCACAAGAAACCTTCGAGTTCGTCCCTATGCTGTGGTCGCCCTCTGATACCTTTTTCCTCACGATTGAAGGGCTTATCAAGGGTGGGAGGAATATCACCCATGTGATGGGATATAATGAACCCGACGGGGAACATGCTACGGGCGGGAGTAGTCTTGATCCCCTCGTGGCGGCGAAGAACTGGATTGCGCAGATGAATCCACTCTCGAAATTGGGGGTGAAGTTGGGCGCTCCGGCTGTGACGGGGAGTGAGAGGGGAATGGGGTGGTTGAAGAGCTTTTTTAAGGCGTGTACGGAGCAGGGAGCGAATTGCACAGTTGATTTCTTCCCGAGCCATTGGTATGGGAATTTTGAGGGTTTGGCGAGCCATCTGGGAGAAATTTCTGGGACGTATGTTCTTCCCTCCCTCTCCTTTCACCCCGTCATAAACACTATAGAAACACTGTAAATTCTAACCTCCTCATAAAGTTTCCCAAACAAAACAATCTGGATAACCGAGTACGCACTAAACAACCAGTCATTATCAGACACCCAGTTCTTCTTCAACACCTCCGCATCCTACTTTGATCGTCTCGAGAATGTGGGAAGATACTCATACTTTGGTAGCTTTCGCAGTGATGTTTCTAATGTGGGACCTAATGCGGCGATGTTGAATAATGCGGGGGAGTTGACGGATATTGGGGCTTGGTATTTGGGACGGAAGGGAGCGGGTGTCCAGCCTGGGGGGAAGAGTGAGGGGGTAAGGAGGGGTGTGGGTGTTTGGGAGGTTGTTGGGCTGGTTGGAGCTTTGAGTTTGGTTTTGTGGTGAATGGGAGAGGTGGGTGGATGGATAATGGAATGGCGTTCTTGGATGGATGGTATGGTTTTGACGGATCATGGGAATGTGAAGAAAGCAGTGGAACATGAGATAATGGGGTTTTGGCTGTAGATATCAGGTTTGGGACAGCACGGGGTTCTTGGGAGATTTAATTCGGGGGAGAAGTGTTGGTGGGTATATACCACATGGTATAAGTACGTACATACACTAGGTAGTGACTAGCTCGGCGTTTAGGTAGATGGTTAGATATCAATATAGTGTAATTCTTCCTATTCCCCTTTTCCTCCTTTTCTTCTTCGAACACTTTGCTTTCGGTGGACCTTGTGGTTTCCAGGACTCTACCTCAACTATTGAGAGGAAGATGGATTTGGGATTGGGATTGAGATTGGGGAAATGGGAATGGGGAATGGTTGAAGTGGGCAGTATGGCTGTTTGGTACAAGGGAAGCGAAAAGATACTATTGTGTAGACTTTCGGGAGCTGGGAGGATGGAAGTTTGAGAGGCAGGTAGCTAGGTCATTGTATCTAGATCGGTTGTTAAGCAGTAAGTATTATAATGTGTAACAATATTAAGGAATTAGTGGGAATTGGTCAATTTGGTTGTGGGGTTTTGGGATATGAATAGAGATTCGGCTAGATACCCATGATATACGTTTGGCTTAATTGCAATAGAAGCAATAGAAGTCCTTGGGATTAATATCAATATGAGAAGTGTGTTCATTGAGTTCGAACTTGTGACTATAAAAGTTCCTAATCTGCTAATACGGTCACATTCCTCTTGCCAACAAAGACCCGTCACCCCAAAGAAATATCGACCAGAATGTATGCGCTTTTTCCCCATAACTTTTCCAAATCCTTATCAACCAATCCCTCATTTCAACAGTACTCAGCTCCTCAAAAGAGCCAACAGCAGCCCATGTCTCTAAACAGAAGTACAAGTCGACAAAGCCGCAAGCTTGTTGTTGATAAGCGTAACAGCCGCATTCTTAGAACACCAAGTCCCACTCCCACTAGCCCCAGCACTAGCAGCAATTGTCATCCCCGCAAGTATATTCCCCTGAAGACTCGCGTTCGCACCAATGCTCGCCGCCGTACCAAGCACGAAGTATACATTACACGCTTGACCTCCATTACTCATAACAATCCTCGAGTTCGCACCGGCCGCAAAGGTCGTGCCGATTTGGAATACCCACTGTCCATTAGGATTCCCTGCTCCAGAAAGTGTCAGAGTAGACCCGGCGCTGAGAGCAGCGGCTTGAGTGGGGAATGTATATATTCCTGGTGGGAGGACGAGTCCACCTAGGTTGGCGGATGTGAGGGCTCGGGTGGGCACAAGGCCTTTGGCGTTGTTGTAGGCCAGGAGACAGGAGGCTTCGGCGTTCATAGACGCGGTTCCCCCAGATGTGGTTATGCCTGTGCAGACTCCTGGTCCTGGAGGGAAGCCGGTGATGGATGTTCCTGGGTAGGTTCCGCAATCGCCTGTTACCACTGTGTTGCCGACGCTGGTGAGGGTGCTGGCTGCGAGGGCGCCGAAGGTTCGGGCGAGGCCCATAGAGATGGGGGGTGCACGTTTTTCGATGAGAGGGGAAGCGAGGGAGGTTGTGAGGAGGAGGGTGAGGGTGAGGAGGTTTGTGTTGGGAGTTGGGTACATCATGATGATTTAGAGTTGTATTTAAGGTGATGAGTGAATTTTTGGTGTAGTTGTTGAAGTTGTATATGAAGGAAGTGAAGATTGTATGAGTTACTAAAGATATGAAGAAGTGATGGAGACAGAGTTGATGCTTTCTGAATCCATCACTTCGGAAGGAACACCTTTCTTATAGACGAACGAATCCAGATAAATGTTTTTGAGAAAATATCAAAAACAACATTGACGTCAGTCTGTATCCCACCCCCAATACCGATCGAGGCGGAGCCGAAAAACCACATACCTCAACAAACAATCAAAGATGCATTGGGAGACGACCTGCATGCACAAATGGATCAACTCGCGCAACCCTCCCAAACATTCGGAACCAGCCATACTTTTCTGCAGGAACCTGGTAAGAAATACAAAGGAAACCCCGTTTCTTCACCCGCAGCAGGATCATGGAGGTCCCGGAATAAATGTAATCCTTCGAGAAGAATCGGCATACGACAATGTCGAGCTCTTGGCTCCGAAAGACTCGCTTGTGATAGGTTGAAATTGTAAGCTTAAAAGGATTGCTGCGCCAATGCGGGAAATATGACCTGCAGCTGCACGACCAGTAGCAACGGTTGGCTTGTCGATGGAGAAAATCTGGGGTTAGTTGGTTTTTGTGGAGCATACCCACCTTGGCTTGAAGAGGTATGCAAAAATGAGATGGAGAAGTGATCCTGGAATATTGTCAATTATTGGTTATACTGTACTGTATTTGCAAGGAGAAGAGAGCGAGAGAGGTGAAGACAAAGACAAAAGACTTGGCAACATGCGGACCTATCTAAATAACAGGACATCTTCGTGAAACTACCGGTAGCTGTTGAAGAGAAACTAAGGACCCTATCCTGAAGCCTAAAAGTTTGCCACTTTATAAGCTCAGTTTAATCTTTGCTTCACTTGGTGGCGTATTTGATTGGGCAACGACTGGGGTAAATTTGGAGAAAATGGAAAATTCGACAGCCTCAAGTGTTAGCCCTCCAGACAATCGATCATTCTACATGGGCCATACCTGTATTGCTGGTGTAGAGAGTTCTATTGAATTCTCTTCTGTCCAATGAAGTGGTTTCCATGCATTCGCTAATATGGAAACGGCGTAATTATGAATTGAGGGGCAACAGAAGACTAATACAGTTACTGGAAGAGCGAAAAATTCTTCGAATCCTCCATACAAAATGCAAGACTGGCTTTCCAAGACATTACTATGCTCTCCTAAATCTACCGCGAGTTGCCAAGTTACATCTAGACTCTGAGGCTTTCAGCTCACATTAAGCAAAGTCCTCTTTGGCGACGAACGGAGCAGCAAGCATTGACAAACGGTTTGTAATACCTGCGAGGAGCGTCCGAACATGTCTAAAATCTCATAATTACTAGTAAGCTAGGCTTCCAAAGGAGAACTTGTGCGTAGCAACAGACGGGATGAAAGGTTACCTACCATATGTCTTCCCATCTTCCGTTGTCTTTTAATTCAATCTGGCTTTTATCATATTGTTGTAACAATATCGCATTGAGTAATTTACATAAACCTCGCCTTCGGAATCTATCTTTCCCCTAGTCAAGCATACCACTCTATTTCATGTAGGACACAATGGATTTCTGGCACTGAATGAACACCTTGACACTTGGTATTCCGTCAATGAATATTAAGCGATATAGCGGAGAGAGAAAGATACGAAGTTTGAGTGCTTAGCCAGAAGACTGTTGAACTCAGAGCCATAGAGAAATGAGGATACGGCTCTTTCCGCATGAGTGGACTTGGAGCATCCGCAGAAAGTAGAAGCTCGCATTTTCAGTCAAATCTTTCCCGAAATTCGGCTATTAAGGTTGGCACTACCGTATGGGTACACATGAAGAGGATAGGGAGTCAGAATGACACAACGATTTCAATTGATAAGCAGCACTAAATGCACCTGTATATATTTTTAGAGTTGTATGTTCCACAATAATTAATGACCCTTTAACTTATGACAAATTGTCTTTGCCAACGTATCTTGAGCTTAGTTCGTCAGTTATGCTTGAATGAAACTCGCGAAGTTTGATGCACGCTGAGACTCAAGTTGCGCAACCTCCTTTCTCAACTCTATCCTCTTTGTTCTGCTGAAAAATCAGTGCAGCACTGCAATTTGGAAGCTCGTATTCATCCCGAAACCTTCTGACGTTTGACCTTGAAAGTTGTAAACTTGAATCATAAAATATCGTCATCCCTGTGAGGCTTCATTGTCGATGAAAGCCAAGCAGGGATCTAACAGGCACGAGAGATCGCTGAACAATTAGAAGCCTATGAAAATACCAAACTACGCAGATCTTTTGACATCGAGTCTTTCACTCACGATGTGGTGGTGTTGTGTCATTGAGAAGGCAGGGGTAGGCGCTGCATTGGCCTTAAGCGAAGAGCGCTCGCTAAGAAAAGGAGGCAGCTCGACGGTCACTCTATGGGTGTTCCTGTATACACAATCACTTCTGATTGACGATCACACATTATCTGATAGCTCGGTAAGCCTTTGCGTTTGACAATTTTTATTGCTACGAAATGAAACCATCCTCAACTCATTCAGGTTACGGGTCCGCTCTCTCTTCCACCTTTTCCTTCATCCATGTCATTTTATTCCTCTATCTCTTTCTCTGCCTTTAGATACCCTGGCTTCTTAGACTAAAAAAATTCCGTTCCTATCCTCTCACAGGCAAAATTCGACTCGCCAGATGAGGGAGCCAGCTGTCCTTGAGCTCCTCATCGGCGCACAGCATCTAGTCTGGGACTAAGCTCAAGTTCGTCAAATTCTTCCTCATACACGTTCTCAGAATCTCTTGGATGAGATGTCTGCTGATACGTGCCAGGCATTCGACGACCTGGATCCGAATATCCTGTCATGTATACATCACGACCGGCAGGTATATTTGGACTTTCCCGAGAAGCATATCGACCTTGACCTCCATCTGATCTTACTGGAGAAGGAGTTCTTGGATGTTCGACATAACGGAAATTTCCCATTCGAAGTGGTGGACCTCGAGTTTGCTCCCGATCATATTGTCGCTCTCGAGAACCTGCCTCACGTCTATAACGGTGAGCCGGGTGAGGCATACCTGGAGGATATTCAGCTGTTACCTCGAGGTCTGCAAAGCGAACGCGAGAACTGCTTCTTGATCGTGATGGAGAGGATCCGTTTTGAGAGCCCATTTCATTTTGCCGAAGAGCACTTGGTGTCATGTGCCCGCGATTATCTGGGTAACCTTCCACATCTCGCCCAGAAGAACGTGCCGGGGCAGTTCTCTCATAGTATGAATCAGATCCATTCGGCACTTGTCTATAAGTTGACACTGATTCATGCCGATACTGTGTTCTCCCACGCGCCGAGTGGTGAGAATCCTGAAGTACCTGAGGATGGTCCTGGGATCCTGAGGGTGGGCGTTCTTGATACTCTCGGACATACTCCCTAGGTGTATCATCATAATGAGTCCGGTCTCTTCTTTCGCGTGAACGGGAGGGGCTTGTTGACGCAGATCTTTGAAGATGCAAAAGTTCCGCCCGCCTAACAAAATCGGCGTATTCTTCTACACCCATGCCACGTGGGGCCACCGTTCTCTCCATCACTCGTGACACTCTGTCGTCGTAAGTACGAGCGGGGGAAACATGTATTTCAGATCTTTGACCAGACCATGGATTATCCTCAAGCTGATCCACTGTGACCTGTGCCATTCGCGAACCCACATCTCGAAAGTGATCTGACGCAGTTGCAGTCTGCTCTTGTCGACCCACTCTGGGATGCGAATGACTTCGGAATAGGTTGTCTTCCTGTTTAACTGTCTGTCTTGGGCTCTCTGTGACATCTACAAGTCGAGATCCCTCATCTTGATGGCGTTCAGTAGATGATGGAGTTGTCTCGTGTAAAACGAGTCTTAGACGCGATTGACTTCTGAAACAATTCTCCTCCCGTTCAATCGCCTCTCTTGGGTTCTCTTCCACTCTCATGCGCTCATCAGTTCCTCCTCTCGGGTATCCCCCATGATTCTCTAAAGTCGGGCTGTTGTCCATTGGTATACGACTTTCATTCGGTGTCGTTTCATTCTCCGGCCAGATGAAACGTCGCGGAGTTCTTTCATTCGTGAGAGTGTTGAGACTATTCTGAATAGCCTGTTGAATCTGGGCCTCTTCGTCCATTACTGGCATAGCGGTGTTCCCGGGGTCAAAACGACTCAGAGAGCGTTCCCCAGCATTATCATGTGAGTTGCCACTATACAGATATCCTCTTTGCATAGCTATCGCTCGGTGTGGACTGCTACTGGGGCTTCGAATTGCCACATCAGTATGAGCTCCCCTCGATGATTGATTAGAGTTTCGCTGCAAGTTGCAGCTCTCCAAGATGGCTCGTTGGAATCCCACATCTTGTCGCTGTTCTTGAAAGCTATCCAAGATGGCTCCTTGGAATCCCACATCCTGTTCCTGTGTTGGAATGTCGGGAATGTCATGGATCTGTCTCTGACGCTGACTATTCTCAACCAGTCTTTGATGTCCTGTGTTAGTGGATACACCACTCTCAATTCTGTTGTGCGCAGGTGAAGCGTCCATGAAACCTTGAAAACCCGAGTTTCCAATGCTGTAATGAGGCTGACGACGAGGCCCCATTGCCCGCTGCGTTACCTCATCGATTTCCTCTCTGACCATTTGCTCTTCTTCTTGATATTGTAGAGCTTCTTCCAAATACGCGTTTTCGTCTAGCATCACAGGCTCCAGGAACAGATTCATGTGCTGTCTCATGGGATCGACGCGTTCTCTCAAAGGGTGTTGATGTATCTCCGCATACTCAGTATAAGGTGGTGGAGCCATGTTCTCTTCACCAAAAACAGGTTCCGCTCTAGTTCTTCGAAATCTAGACCTATGAACATCAGGGGAGGGGGAGCAATAATCCAAATGAGCGATTCTTGGATTGAATTGGGCTCTCGATGGTCTATTGGAATTTGTTCTGATCAAATTCGGGTACCTCATTGTGTCTGTATGTGGATTTGGGATATCAAAAAATGTTTTCTCCCTGTCGTTGGGAAGTGGTTCTGGGTGTGTTGAATATTGGACAAACAATAAACCGCACGAGTGTTGCGGACTTTGGTGGCCGGTGGTTGTTTAAAGTCCGTGATTGTCAGTGTGTGTGCGAAGGAATAGGTCTCTAGGAGAATGTGGGGGATTATTTGAGCACTCCTAAGTTGAAGCTTAGACCACAGGATACACACAGCTGTAGCTCCTATGGAGACAGACTTAGATTATTTGCGGATATTTACTAGTAATAGTGAAGCAGAAAGACTCAGATATGACTCCTAACTGGATATCTGCGGGGTGTTTACTGCCAATGAGTTGATATGGCCATGTGGAGTGGGGGTGTATTGAGGCACCATGGCACACCACATGGGACACCACTTACGGTATTCTTCACTAATCAGTTAGTACACAGATTCTGTTTTTCTTGCCATTATTTGGAGGGTGAAATAAGCATTTTAGTGAATTGTGAAGATATTCACCATTTAGCTCTAGATGTATTCATTTGGTTGCTTGAGATAGACAGAAGAATTTGATCTATCAAAGAACTCAGCAGCATTTCTTTTCAATTAATAAGGGCTTATCTAGGAGTATTACCATTTTGAATTCAGAGGATTTTGTTCAAAATTAAGCGAGAAGAGCTTGGCGAGAGAGATGTACAACGCAAAAAGCAAGCAGACTAAATTGCCCAGAAATTTCGATCCTTCTTATATTTGTAGATTTGAGCCTGTGTATATGATCTTCAAGGAATACAATATCATACCTGGAGTTCAATTCTCATTGCAGCTGTGATAAGTCTTACAAGCGACAGCTCAACGTGGATCTTATCCTTTGAGAGAGGAGTGTTACTTTAATACTTGAGCCTTCACGTTTGAAGGAAACAACAAAACCCGGAATTTTCCTATCCATAAGACCCTCTCTTAGTTTGTTGGCTCTGCTTGTTCTATCAAACACCAATAAATTTAATGCTTATGTGTTTGTGTTCTTGAGCGACCGTAATCTCGCAAAATCTGCATAAGAATTGATATGTCTAGTTGTTTCTTCTTGTTGATGAAAAATATATGATTGATGATGTCTAATTCCATTAAAGTTATTCCCACAATAAAAATTCAACCGTGACGCCAACAGTACTAGGAACTGAACCTTTTCGTGTGATGCAAGTATCACGAAACTAGCTGAGAAGGGTACTAAAATCAGTAAACCCACCGCACGTACTACGAGCTTTTTTATCATAAATAATTGTTATTTTAACTTTAAGTCAAATGGGTGATGCGATAGACCTATATTATATATAGTAACTAAGTCTCTAATGTTACATACCGAAGCAAGTAGAGCTAGCTAGCTAAGTTCCTACTCCATTATACGCTAGTCTCGAAGGAGCGGAGCAAGCTAATAATCATTCACTATTATAAAGCGACAGTAACTCATTGCCACTATTTCCTTACCTAGATTGCCAAGTTAAGTAAAACTGCAGAGTGTGAATTTCCTTAATTTGTTGTTTATAACAGGGATACACATCTCCTTATTTATTGAGGAAGGGGGGGGGAAGGAGAGAGTGTATAAAAAATATCAAGATGCCCAATATATCGCAGTTCCAGATATACCTGTGCTTATATTCGTTTTCCGCTAAAATTCTTTTCCAACTCCGATGATGTACTTCATGCATGAAATACCGGGCAGCTCCGTCTGACAGACATGCGTTGAATCCTTGACCCATAGCTGTAACGACCAATAATATTTGTTCGCTTGATATCATCACCCGGTTCTTACATTTAGCTTACTTCGAAGGGGTCGTCAGGGCCCACTTAAGTCTGACCCTCTTCCCGCATTAGGGAATCTGACCCGTCCTGTCACTTCGTAGCAGGTGACTTTGTGTATAATAATTTTCCCTCCTCAGATAAATACTTGCATAGTCGCCTTTATCCTCATGTAGCTATTTCACTGTCTTTGAAATGCATTTCTCCCATTTTCTAGTCCAGAGCGTGGTAGCCGGTGCAGTTCTCGCAAAGCCACTTGTGATTGACACTAAGAAACACCTCACTTACTATGGTATTACTTCTTCGCCTGGTATCGAAACTTTCCTTGGAATACGATATGGAAAGGATACTAGTGGTCAAAATCGCTTCGCGCCACCGCAGCCGTTTAATGCACCTAGTGGCTATATATTTAATGCCGCAGGGGCTGGTTATTCGTGCCCCCAGACTTCAGAAGCAGGGTTCTTGTACGACATTCCTGTGCTGGATATCTCAGAAGACTGTTTAAATTTACAAGTAGCAAGACCTGTTGGAAGTGGAACAAAACTACCGGTTATGGTATATATCTATGGAGGTAATCTTCATCTAACCCCAAGTCAGCGAAAATTGAAACTAATATATCAGGTGGACTGAATGCTGGGACGACTTATGCTCGAACCACGAAACCTGATGGCCTTGTTACTAAATCTGTGGAGAACGGGTCTCCAGTTATTTATGTTGGCATGAACTATCGACTTAATAGTAAGGTCGGAATCTTTCTAACCAACAAGAGTTTAATTGACGAAAGGCAAACAGTCTTTGGATTCGCGACTTCAGAATTTCTGAGAGGAGGCAAATCTTTAAATGTAGGCTTGAAGGATCAAAGATTGGCACTTGAATGGGTAAAGGAGAACATCGAAGTCTTTGGTGGTGATCCAAGCAAGGTCACTATCTTTGGTCAATCTTCAGGAGGTAAGCTTGGAACGTATTTGGGAGCCTGATAGCGACACTATCTAGTTTGCAGAGCTCAGTGTAAAACTTCCGTCAAAGGGGTGAGTAAAGCTAACAGCTTTAGGTCTTAGTGTAGGAATGCAAGTTCTTGCGTATGGAAACTCGAAATCAAGCCCCTTCACTTCAGCAATAATGCAATCCACGGCTCTTGAACCAGGGGCGAGTACCAACATATCTTTCGACGCAACAGCCGCTATTGCCATTTCGGCATCTTGTAACTGTACAGACGCACACTCCACTTCCCCCGACCTGATAGCTTGCCTTAAGGCGTTGCCCATGGAGGTGCTGCTTAACTACACGCTAGACTATCTCACTTTAATGAATGGCGGAGACATCTTCCTACCGACAGTAGATCAAGACTTTCTTCCAGAGCTGGCAAACACACTTGTCAGAGAGGGAAAATTTCCCAAAATCCCTCTCATGGCAGGATGGGTGGAAGATGATGCAACTTTGTTCACAGAGTTCAGCGTTCAAACTCCCAACGACACACAAGCCTACATTAGAACCATCTTTCCCTTCTTACATGAAACAACTTTATTGAATCTGCTCTCCCTTTACCCTGTCTCGGAATTTCCCGCAAACCCAGATGCCTCTCTCTCAGCCGAATTTTACCGTACCGCCCAAATATTCCGAGATGTCCTCTTCGTTTGCCCGGCAGTATTCATGCTCTCCGCTATGGCCAAGAAATACCCCAAAGATTCTCCACCCCTATATCTGTGCAACCAGAATCAGACACTTCTAACATCCTACCTCGAGGCAGAGGGTGTGCCTGGGTTAGGAGTTATTCATACGAGTGAATTATCCTATCTCTTCGGCAATATTTCGATTTTCAACTTGACGGATTATACACCTCCTTTGGAGAATTATACGTTCGCTCCTACAGAAGAGGATTATTTGCTGGAGAAAAGAATTCCGGGTTCTTGGAGTGCTTTTGCGACATGGAATGACCCAAGAAAGGGAGTGAATTCTATGCGTGGCTGGACTACTGCATTTCCAGGTCACGAAAAGGGTGGTGACGTCTTCAAAATTGAGAACGGGAATGGTGTTATGGTGGGGGGCGAAGATGAGAGGTTGGATGAGAGATGCGGCTTTCTGAATAGCGAGGAGGTGGTTATGCAACTTATGTACTAACAAATATCTTCCAGATAGAAAGCTGTTCAATAACCGAGCGTTATCTAGCCTTCACTGATTTCTATATCAAAGACAATCTTAGCTAGTAACATGGATCTTGGACCAATAAATAGATTTTGAATGGATTAACCATTCTCAATTAGTTAGAACTGTCTTGAGGTCTGTATATTGAGTCTGGTTAGACTTCCAAAGTGATCCCAGCAGATAGACCTCAATTTATCCACGTCGTGAGCCAACACCAAATCCCTCGCTTATAATCTGTAATGCTCAAGCAAAGTTTCCACATGACGTAATGTTTCCTCGTATAAAGTTGGTCAAAGGCATGGAATAAAGGCAACCTTCCAAAGCGCTAAGCACAATAATCTGGTACCACGTAAAGTAAAGTCTCCCACACTTTTCATAGTAAACATGAATGTTTGGAAATCTCTGAAATGTATATCAAACAAATATCTTCACTTCACTACCCCACGCTTCTAAGTTTCAATGACCGGTTTACGTCTCTTAGTCAACAATTCATTCAAATCTGCCAGGCCAACCAGCTAGTCCATCTCTATTTAAGAGCCCCCAGGACCCCATAACTCTCCTTCCTTCTCAAACTCAGACACCAACACAACCGTTTTCTCAACATGACATCAAGTCACTTCACAATCGTCTTCACATACAACAAGAAACAATTTCGTAAGGTTTCTATTGAAATCATGTCCCTAAACCTTCCGCATATGGGACTTGGAATCTACGGTGGAGGCTATGAACGTCCATTCATGCGTTCTCAAACGCCAGGACGTCAGCCAATGTATGAACATCCGCATCAATTCCGAGGTGAGGGCAACGTCAGGGATTTTGATCCACATAGTGAGAGGGATCCTCCAGCTGGTATGCATTTAGATAGGGGCCCGCATAGGCAACCACAAATATCTCATTTTCCGCCTCATACTTTCCCTCGAAATATAGGCCCACCTCCGTCTGATTATGACAGATTTCCGCCTCGGACTGGCCCTCAAGATATAAGTCCACCTCCATCTGGTTATGACAGATTTCCGCCTAGGACTGTCCCTCAAAATATGGGTCCACCGCCGCCTGGTCATGACAGGTTCCCAAGAACTCCACGTACTAGTTTCAGAGCTCCGAATCCAGACCCTTTTGCAACCAATATGATGGCACTGCAAGGAGATTATGATCAACCAGAGGGCCAAGGAAATAGCAATCTTCGTGGTTTGGGAGTACCTTTAGAAGTACACGTTCACAACCATGCTCAAGGAGGAAATGTAGGGGGGCATTACACGCATGGAGGAGATGGATACGGCAGAAATTTCCATTTCCCATTTGAAAACGGGATGTCCAGGGCAGATGGTATCATGGCGAGTTATCCTCTTGGATATAACGGCAGACCGGGTTCGTGGCAACCTCGCGTAGGCGGCCGTATGGGCGGCCACGACGTGCACACACGAGGGCAAAGGAATGTTACGAGTCGGCGAATTCCAAGGTCACTATTGCATGCTTGGTCTTGGTTGTGATTGCTTTGAGGAATTTGCTATTCACTCAATTCCTACACTAGCATCGTTTCAGGGTATTGATTACCCACCTGTACTTTACTTTACAGATTGGAGAGTTCTCCCGTTTAGATCGCAACAGATTGTAAAGCTTCTGCCTAGAAATACTAATAAATCTTATTAGGTAGAGCTCTGGAGAGCTAAGCTACAATAAGATCACACAATCTGAATTGATAAATCTTTTCTGCTTACTGAAATATAATGTATTTATGTGATATGTATCGTCGTGCAATACTCTACTACTGCAACAAGTCTGACTTCGCAGTATTTATTACATGCTATATATGAAGAGATATCGACGAGGGCGGTTAACGTAAATAAGCTATACTGCCTTGTTGTATAATACTATGATCTTTAGTAGAGAAGTATAATAAGCTAAGCTCCCTAAGTTAAGTCATGTATAGAGGTGGTATAAAGGTCATATTTGTATGTTTCCTTTGATTAACAAATTACGCGTGCCCAGTTTGCTTGCGACCAAAGAAGATGGAACAAATGAGTGTCTAATCAGACTGTTCGATATGACATAATACCATCAATTTAAAGATCTGATAAATGAGTTCGGAGAAAATTGTTGTTCCCTCCTGCTTTCTTTTGACATGCCTTTACTACCAATTGGATATAGTCTGCTGAGTCCGTTACTTACCAACCCTGATCACTCGCTTATGGAACATTTGGCGTACTCATTTAGCTCCAACACCCACACAAACGAACTGCTGTGGACTAGTCCACTGAACTAGCACTATAAACTAGTGAGGCGACTAATACACAGCTATGTGACTTTCGCTTACCCCTTCTTATAAACGCTTACTCATTGCCAAGTTACCACCACTTTCAGTTCTTTTCAATTCTCGTGAACCACAACCCGTGTTCTTGTTTGTGTGAAACTGCGGTATATGGACAATCACTCCAGCCAAAATACCTTCATTTCTCTTTGATATCCAATTCTCTCCCACCTACGCATCCATCCAATCGTACGCATAATCATCTCACACCATTTAAGTTCCAAACCCCACAACTTACTCTTGACGGCAAAACTGAAATTTCTTCAGAAATAATCTTGGTATGGGAAGGGGGAGTGCTGAAATGGGAGGCCTGGGACCAGAAACGGGTCCAGGTGGCTTTGACAATGGTATGGGAGATAGTATGAAATTCCGGGATGGGAGACCCAAGTCTATGTATAAACCGAAATGGTCTCTTGAAAGGACTGGTGTGAGCATGGTTCGGTTCACTTCATTGAGAGTTGAACAGATGCGCGGGTGGATTAGTTTTGTTAATCTTATCTGGGATGTTTAATCAAGCACTTCTTAATGTTTATACATGATCTACATTCGAGTTCATTCGTGAAATGCAAACACATTTATTTGCTCAAAGTAAGCCTCGATAATTCTTGTGACCCACCCACCTGACTGCCATTTAGAATCATATGAGCATGGTATTGAGGTGAGCATGTGCGTCGAATACTTGCCTGTACTACTATATAAGTTAATCATTTTTCTCACTACTCAGAGGTCTCCTTTATTCAAAACGTAAAATTACAATTTATTTTTATCAGGAAATCCATTTTGGTATCAAGGAAGATGTGTTTTTGTGTCCAAGAAGTTAATAATAGGGAGAGAGAGTTTGGAGGAAGGAAAAAGTCTTCAAGTGACGAAGAGAGGCCTGTCTGAAGAGTATCACAATCACGAGTTGAGACGAAAAAAGATAGGGCGGAGGTTCCAAACAAATTTAGGCTGAGAATGTCTGGAACTGAAGTATCTGATTCCAAGTTGACTGGCCGGAAGTTGCTTCAAGTAAACGTCCACGAGATGAAGGAGCTCGGTCGCAAGAACAGACCGCTGTTCAAGGAGCCAGTGGCTATTCATCAGGATCATCTTCGTCGCGTAGTCTAGCGGATGACTAAATGTCAAATTCATTAGAGGAGAATGCGTTACGTTGGAGTCAAGGTCATATTTTAACAGAATCGAGACGGAAGAGATGTGTAATGTAAGAAGACAATAACATGGGCTCGCCATGGAACCTGAGTAACATTCGGTTGAGAAGCTTGTTATACTCCCAAATAACCCGATGAGTATAATAAATATCACCAACAACCTATCACACAATCACAGACCTCTATATATATTTAGAATTTAGAGTGAATGATAGAAAACAAACACTGTGTCTCTCACAATCACTTGCCTAAGCCTGTGTTCTATAAAATCCGTTCGACCCGTCTGTTCCTCTTCCCCGCATCATCAACTCCAAAAAGATTACCAATTACAAAAATATATCACTGAAAAATTGAAAATTAGAAAGAAAGAAACCATGCCATTCTTCTGGGGTGCCTTCCACGGCCGAAGCAACAACGTCTGGGGAGGAGGATGGGGAAACCAAGGAAGATACCCACAACAACGCCAACCTCGAAGACCACATCGCAGCCCCGTCGAAATAGTGCGCCAACACCAAGTTTGACCTTGGATGGATCATGCTTACAACGCCAGAGCTCTCGGCTATCGGTATGGGCCAGGTCACCGCAACTACCCTTTGGGACGTCGCTGATTGGTGAGGAATAAAGTTTGAAATGAAAGAAGGAGTGAAATATGGAGGGGAATGAGCGAAAGTTAATGTTATTTCTATATAGACGATAATCGATGGATCTCAAAATTGGTAGCATATCCTGTGGCTTCCATTACTGTAATGACGAGGGTAGAAAGTATAGAATGGCACTTCAATGACCAAATCATTCTCGATTCTCGTTAGAAGGTCGGTAAGCTGTCACTCTTTATATCGTAGTAGTGTTTACAACGGTTAACCTCAAGTAGTCAATCCCACGTTGGTATCCTGATTCCGGCGCACAAGAAGAGTTGCAGAGTGTTTTGATCAGCGCAGTAGTCATCTAGACTCATCAGAGCAATACACCAAAGTCTTGGGATGATTAAAGGACTTTCCAGGACATCCAATAATCTTCAATCGATTCATAATCATATGCTGCAAAAACAAAGGGCATCTGCCGCGCCTTCTTATTCCCCAGGAGAAAAGCCCAAGTTATATCATTCAAATTTCCGATTCAAATTGAAAAAGCTAGAAGAATCGTGATTGTGAGCTATATTCCAATTGTCTGCTCTGAATAGCTGAAACAAAACAAAATATTCCTGCAAAACGATTAGCGAGGGAAAAAGGGGGCCACGGAGCCTTCGGTAAAATGGCGGCACCGGCACCATGTCGGTATGTGTAAACCTGGTCCCTTGAGGAGTGGCAGAAAAAAGATTCCATCCAAACTTCTCCATCCCCCGCCTCATCTTGCGACACCTCAACCACTCAACCTCACAATGCCCAAACAAAACGCCCCCAAAGGCGCTGCAGCCGCAGATGCCTCCAGCTCAATTACCGATGCGCGATTCTCGAATTTTACAACGGACCCTCGATTCCGATTGCCTTCCAAGAAGCACACCCGAACCAAAATCGATAAGCGTTTCTCGCGCATGCTCAAGGATGAGGATTTCTCGAATACTGCAAAGGTCGATAGATATGGACGGAAATTAAGTGGCGAGGGGAAGAAGAAGGCGTTAGAGAGACTGTATGTTCCCGACGAAGAGGAGGAGGAAGATGAGGAAGATGGAGACGTGGAAATTGAGGTTGAAGATGACGAGGTAGTAGAGAGGGAATTGGCACAGGCGGATGCGAAATACGATGCTGCGCGAGGTGGTGGATTTTCTTCATCCGAAGACGAGGATGAGGATGATGACGAGGAGGGAGGCGTCGAGATTGAGGAGGCTGAATTCCCGGATTTGAAGGCAGAACAAGGTGCCGTTGAGATGGGTGAAGTTTCGAGCAGATTTGCAGTCGTCAACTTGGATTGGGATAACATTAAGTCTACGGATCTCATGGTTGTTTTCTCGAGCTTCGTTCGACCGGGCGGGAAGATCCATAAGGTTTCGATATACCCCAGTGAATTTGGCAAAGAGCGAATGGAGCGGGAGGAGATGGAGGGACCACCGAAGGAAATTTTCGCGGCTAAGAAGGATGAGGATGAATGGTCTTCCGATTCTAATTCAGATGATAGTGAAGATGATGAAGATGATGAAGAGGCCGATGAGAAGATCAAGAGGAATCTGCTCAAGGAAGACGACGGACAGGAATTTGATGGTGCCGCTCTGCGACAGTACCAATTGGAGCGTTTGAGATATTACTACGCCGTAGTTGTATGCTCTGACAATGAAACCGCACAAAAGATATATGAAGCTACGGATGGAACAGAATACCTCTCATCGGCCAATTTCTTCGATTTGCGCTTCATCCCAGATGGAACAGAGTTCGACGACAAACCGCGCGATGGATGCGACTCCATCCCCACTGGCTACCACCCTACCGAATTCGTCACCGACGCTCTCCAACACTCAAAAGTCAAATTGACCTGGGATCAGGATCCGGAGGAAGCATCACGAAAAGACGCCATCAAACGCGCATTTAGCGGTAGCCGTACAGAAATTGGCGAGAACGACTTACGCGCATACCTAGGCAGTGGCTCTGAAGACGACGAAGAATCTTCAGGGGAAGTAGAAGTCGTCACAGAAGAGATCTCGGCACCCCTAACGAAGAAAGAACTCGCTCGCCAAAAGATGCGCGCCGCCCTCGGTCTCGCACCTGAACCTACCGCTCCATCGAAAAAGAAGGACGCTGCTCCAGTAGGAGACATGGAAATCACATTCACATCTGGTCTTACATCCTCTTCGAAAGGAAAAGGAGTTTTTGAAAATGAACCCATCATCGAGGAAACCACCGCTGAAGCCTACGTGCGCAAAGAAAGAGAGCGCAAAGCCCGACGAAAGGAGAAAATCAAGGCAAAACGTGATCCCGAAGCTGCGGCCAAGACAGAGACTGTAGTCAATGAAGACGACGGCGCAAAAGAGGACCTCGGCTTCGATGACCCATTTTTCTCTATAGATCCCAGCGCACCAAAAGATACGACTTCCAAATCAACGAGAAAAGCAGAGCGTCTGGCCCGTCGCGCGAAGAAGGAAGCAGAAGCAGCAGCCAAAGCAACAGAACGTTCCCAACTCGAACTCCTTATGCAACCTACCGCTGCCGAAGCCCAAAACCAAGCCCTGGACCACTTCGACATCAACGAAATCGCGCGCGCCGAGAAACGTGCTAAGAAATCCTCTAAACATAAGAAGAAGGATGGTGATGAGGAAAGTAAGAGAGGTGGCTTACAAAAAGGCTTCAATATTGATGTCGGCGATGAAAGATTCGCGGGGAGGCTCTTTGGGAATCATGAATTTGCTATCGATCCTTCCAACCCGAGATTCAAGGGTACGGAGGGGATGAAGATGTTACTTGAGGAGGGCCGGAAGAATAGAGATAAGAGCGAGGGAGATGTTGTAGGAGGGAAGAAAAAGGATAAGAAGAGGAAGGCGGATGGGGAGGTGAAGGAGAGTTTGAGTAGTCTTGTGGACAGTGTGAAGAAGAAGAGTAGGAAGTAAAAATTTGTGTGAGTAGATAATGAAAGATTGTTGTTAAATCTACTTACTTATTTGCTCTATATGCATGATACTGTGGTATTGTTTTAGTGGTGTATGGATAGGTGGTATTACTCTTAGGCAGTACACTGTTTGGCCTTGCTTACTACTGTAATTACTAGCTCTCTGTGGACGAGAGTATTTACACCTGCGAAATAAGACACAGGCTTCCGTAACATAAAAGAAAAGTAACATTTCCTGGTTACTTCCAAACCTATGGCCTCTAAAACTCAGCTCTCTCTCTAGATAGAAGATGTTTCTAGTGTAGTCTACTAGGTCGTCATAATTTACTAGACCGTAGGTAGAGCATTAATTTATTAATATTCGTATTTATAAGCTTACTAGCTTATTTAGAGACTTAGCTATACTCTTTTACATTTAGCCTTCTTTATAGGTAAGCGAGTCGCTAGTCAGAGGTTATCTTTTCTTTATTCTAAATAAATTTAGGTTATAGAAAAGCGCGTACATTTAGATATTTTACTAAATTCGTATAAGAATCTTCGAGCTTAGGAAAGAAAGGAGTATATTAGAGAATAATTTAGAAAAATAGGGTATAATATAGAATAGATAAGCGATTAATAATAATTAGCTAGCTACGAGCAAAGGGGGGGTCTTATAGGACAACCCTAACCGAGTAGAAGGCTATAAAAGTTCGATTCGAGTTTTATAGTAAATGGTGTTGCACGTAATAATCCCCGCTTAAGTGAATAGGGGTATTCTATAGATATTTAGTTAGTTCCTCCGCGGGAGTTCTCTCCTTCTCTCCTTCTCTCCTTGCGGACAATCTAACCAATAATCTGATCTAACAAAGCCTTTAGAGTACTAGGTATCCACGTAGGCTATGTCACGGTACAAGTGCAAGTCGAGGACAATTGCGACTTGGTTGAATAGATTGATTACAGGGAGAGAAGAGATTCTTAAGGAGATCTATCCTTTAAGTCGGTTGACACTGGTCTGTGTGTTTTTCCATAATTGTGAATAGCTTCATGAATGAACGCAGGTCACCTGATCTGACTCCTTGACAGGCTACCGAGACAGTGGCTCCGCCAGCAGAGGCAGGAGTGCAGGAGTCTCGACTAAGACTATCCTCCTCCAAACTTCAAAGCTCTATTGGCAGCTCTCTGTGTATGGTACGCTCCTCTTACACCAAGCGCTATCGAAAGATTACCTTGGGCGATCTTCTTGGCAGCGGCGAAGTCCTTCGTAATGGCCTCCTGCTGGGAGCGCCAATGGCTAATATATTCGAACTCGTAGGGTGAGAGACCAGAGTGTACACATCTGGCTCCTATCGCTTCTCCATTCGTTCTAGCTCCGTAATTTGATCCACCGTTATATCTCGTATATGAGGCGGGAGTGGTTTGGCAAGCGGTTTTTCAGAAATTCAGCCATTGAGGTTAGTCTAGTAAGCAGCTTTTCAGCCATTAGTCGTCTAGCCTTAATCAATGGCACAAGGGGTATCTGGTATAGTTATCAAGGGTGCGTATTATCACGAGTATCTAGTATTCACTGCTAAAGGTGATTGTAAGTACCATCTTACCCGCTCCTGCCTTTACTCCGGTCGTAAATCGTCCATTTTCGTCCTGCAGACTTTACATAGATTTCGGGCGCAATCTTAGGTCTCCTCCTACTGTGAACAAATCTGGAAACTTCTCGTGAAGCTCAGTCTTTTACGAGGTCTCTTCTAAGCAAACCCAGTTTTTCATGTGAGCGAATTGCCTTTTTCGGAGCTTCCTTGTAAGGGTATACAGCTGTAGCTCTTTGTTCTGCAGCTTTTAGGCCAGCGATTCGTTCTTCATGCTCTATAATTAGGTCTCTCAAATTGTCATCTCTCGCTCCTCTGGCTCTCTTGAAGAATTCCTTATCTACCGTCAGCGTTCGGCAAATAGTACTCGATTCCATAGATTCCATAATTCCATTCTATATAGAATATTATTAGAGGCCCTTGTAAATAGTACGCTTATTTCTATCGAATAGGCTCTAGTATTCTATAGAACTATGGAATTATAAAATACGTAATAAGCTAGTAGCTTATTTATAATACTATTATTTACTAACTCTAAGCGCTAAGTAAAAGAGAATTTCTATTAGTCTTCGGATAAGGAAACTTTACTCCGGATTATATAATTTTGTTCTATAGAATACTATAGAACTACCCTATATAGAATAGTATATTCTAGAGATTAGTATAAATAGTATAGTATAGAATAGAATTCTAGTTACCGAACGCTATTTACCGTAACTCGATTCTTCTATTAAGTATATATACTTTTTATGTGACAGACGTGCTTCAGGTAGAACTCAGAACAATTAACACTCTATTCTTAGGACAAAAGACGAGGAAAGAAGGAGAGCTCTAGTGAGCTGGGAACTAAATACAGGTCGTGCGCGCTAGCGCCTCGCTAAGCGAGCATGTGACATCCAGCCCTCGTGACCATAACCGTCACACTCCTCTTTAATATTAGTATTCGAAGTAGGCTTAGAAGTATCTATTTATATTAAATTTACGTTTAGGAATAGTCCTTAAATTTTACTAGACAAAGGTTAGTTTATTAGTAGCAAATATCGCTTGTCGTATATATTTAACAATAATTAAACTATATAAATAATAAATAATAAACAAGACCTGAGGTTATTACTGTAAACGTGTGGAGTAAACCACTACTTGCTGTGATAAGATACGGAGTCAAGTGTAAATTGCTATATTGAGCGAATAACAAAGTAAGGGAAGAAGAGAGTTCCAGAGGAACGGAAGCTTATATACAAGATTTGAGCAACACGCACGTGCCGTGCTACACGTGATCTACCCCTTGTCCCTCCAACTCCGTAACAATTACTAACCTAGGCAGAGGGTCGGCTAGACGATCCCTCGGCCAGAGAACTGGCCACCCATGGTGGAACAACGATTGCAAAGAGGCACTTAAAAGCAGGAACCGACA